ATAAATAAAGCAAGAGGATAGTGGGGATGGCCCGTCCTAGGTATTTCCAGTCAAAACCAAACTAACTGATTTCTCTTCTGATGTGGAAGCGATGACTGCTGATAATGAGGTAAAAAAATGAGGAACCAGGGTCCGAGGGTCCCACTGATGAAAAACAGGAAGTCAAGATTGCCCCCGCCCTGCCGTTAGGGGGCAGTGGCTACCCTCTGCCATCTTGTATTGGGTTTGATGAAAAACAGGAAGCTAAGGCAGCCTCCAAACCACCATTAGAGGGTGATGGATACTTTAAGCCATCTTGCACTACCTTTACGGAAGCTCCCCCCACAGTCCATCTACCCCTCCCTTCCAGAGGAGGACTCGAAGCCCCTCCCGCTTAGGCCCCTCTTCTATGCTACAATGGGAGATTTTCCACAGTTCTTCCCAGTTACTGCCAATCAGGGACAACAGAACCCCAATGTCTGGAATCCATATTCTCATGATACCTTAAGGAAGCTGCGTAAGGCAGCAGTTGAGGATGGCATTCACTTCCCCTGGTTTGGTCAGTTATTAGATAGAATCAGTCATTCGGCCAATACCCCCTATGATTGGCAGAATATCGCCCAGGGAGGTAATTTTCTCTTATGGAAGGCTGCCTATCAAAATGAGTGTAAACAACAGGCAAAACACAATAGAAATGCCAACGTTCAAAACATTGGGTTTGATTCCTTGGTAGGGCGTGGCACTTTTGAAACCCCACAAGCCCAGGCACAGGGACCTCCTTGCTACTTTGAACAAGGGCAGCTTTATGCGCTCTGTGCTTCCCAAAGTATGCCAACTCATGTTTATACCAAATTGACCAGATTGATACAAAAACAAGTGAGCCTTTCTCTGGCTTCGTTGAAAGGTGCCAACAAAGCGTTAATAGGAATATCAGCCATCGGGGGGCTGCAGATGCTTTGCTCAAGGAGCTTATATATGAAGGCTGCTCTACCGAGTGCCGCCTTGCCATTGGACCCGTTAGACACAAGGATGTCTCTGAATGGTTTCTAGCCTGTTGGGATGTGGGGACCACTTGAGCTCATGCCACAGCTCTCACTGAGTCACTGGCTGCTCACCAGCCACAGGCCGAGATGGACAAAGGCAAATGTTGGGCTTGTGGAGGACAGGGTAATTGGTTTTGCACCTGCCCTAACAAGATCTGCAGATGGATGTTACTCACTTTCCTTCCTTTGGCAAGCTCAAATATATCCATCATATTATTGACACTTGTTGTTAATGCAAGGGTGAGGCTATGCTTATGTCTTTCCAGATAATGTTATCCCAGCTTGAAACATCAGAATTGCTTGCAATGAAAGCCCTCCCTCCACAACCACTGACCCTCGAGATGGCAGCCCTGACCCTGGAGAAAGCAGTGCACCTGTCAACCACCGAGAGACTGACCTGGCGTCGCAGACCACAAAAACGACCAGCTCCAACAGTGCCAATAACCTGGGATGACCTTGAGTATCTCACTTCACAAGTAGAGACTATAGCCATTACTGGTATCAATTGGTTTTGCACCTGCCCTAACAAGATCTGCAGATGGATGTTACTCACTTTCCTTCCTTTGGCAAGCTCAAATATATCCATCATATTATTGACACCTGTTGTTAATGCAAGGGCAAGGCTATGCTTATGTCTTTCCAGATAATGTTATCCCAGCTTGAAACATCAGAATTGCTTGCAATGAAAGCCCTCCCTCCACAACCACTGACCCTCGAGATGGCAGCCCTGACCCTGGAGAAAGCAGTGCACCTGTCAACCACCGAGAGACTGACCTGGCGTCGCAGACCACAAAAACGACCAGCTCCAACAGTGCCAATAACCTGGGATGACCTTGAGTATCTCACTTCACAAGTAGAGACTATAGCCATTACTGGTATCTCCTAATATTTGGACCCTGCATTGTTAATTTTGTTAAGGCTAGTTCAGTTAACTGTTGCCCTGCCTCTGGATCTTGCCAGGCATATCTCTGCAAACAAGCACCCACTGTTCCTTGCCCTTACCAACCTATAATTATCCTCTAATGGGTTTCAACAAATTCTTGACCCCTGAGGAGGCCTTTAAACAAGCCAATACTGGATGTACTGCCTCTCCCTCTGCCAAACCACACAAAGGGACCCACCCTTCGAGGGCTATTAGTCAATGATGGGTAAGATCCCAATGGATGGGAAAATCTAAGACAGGCACTGTCCATTATGCTGGGTGACCCTTGAGGTGGGGACAACAATGCTGAGGCAAAGAATCTCAACTCCCACTGGCTAGCATGGAGTTGGCATAACTTGCTTGTAAGTAAGCTTGCCATCTTGAGAGATGGAGCTCTTGATGCAATGACCCCCTGAGCCATTTTACTTTGCCTTGATGTATCTGGACTCATATCAATATGCTATATATTATAAACTATACCTCACCTTTAAAAATAAAAATAAAGAAAAAGTCGGGACAGGCTTGAGCCTAGGTTGAAAGTCTTATTGACAGCCATGCAGCAGGCCTGAGGAAATGGCCCGACCACTGGAGCCACAAGAAATGCCTTGTGACATTTGTTTCCATTAGCAGATCATGACACTGATGCCTAGAGCTTGCCACTCCCTAATCACCACCCTTTGAATCCAAAATTGGAACACTTAGATATTGCAATAGTCAGGGTCACGTGGTTTCCTGGTATCCTACTTGCTGTACTTTAATAGGACGCTAAACCTGTTATGCTAATAAGGTATCTTACTTGCTGGGCTGTGATTGGACCACTACCCCTATATAAGCTTGTGCCTTCCTGCAATAAAGCAGACCTGTGTCACTGAACCTGGTCTCCTGTATCTGAATGCGGCTCTTCTGACACAGTCTCCTCACTAGCCCTGCGGTCCGGGACCAGGCAGAAGCAGCGGTGATTGGAGGCAGCGCCAGGTGAGCAGAAGGGCTGCCTCAGCCCAGGGCAGGCAGAAGAGCGGCCTCAGCCTAGGGCGAGCGGAGGAGCAGCCTCGAATCCTGTGAGAATGAAGGAGCGGTGCCCATGAGAACAGAGGAGCGGCCGCCACTGGCAGTGACCACATATGCTGACTAAAAAAATAAATAAGAAAATTTCAAAATAGAATTATTGGTTGGAGGGATGACTCAGTGGTTAAGAGCACTTGTTGCTCTTGCTCAGAGCTGCCTGTAACTCAAACTCCAGGGGATTCTGTGCCTCCTCTGGCTTCTGAATACATTCACATGTACATACACATACATGTAAATAGAAATAAAATAAGTCATGAGGTCTCACTACAAGATGAAGAGCTACAGGAAATTGATGGAGGCTGAGGGAAGGAGAATCAGCTTTCTCCAGTGACCAGCTGCCTGAGAGGTTATCTATTTCCAAAAGGGCATCCCTAAACACATAAGCACCAATAAATGGAATCAATGGGCTCAGTGCGTCATGTACAGTTATTTATATTTATAAATGTATGTATATAATGTAACTATAATAATCAAAGAAGAGGTCATGAAACTGAGAGGGAGTGGGGGACATGGGAGGAGTTGACTGGGGACTAGGAGAGATGGAAATAATGCAAAGACAATACGCATGTATCAAATCCTCAAAAATAAAAACTACTCTTAAGAACAGAGTTACTCAGTGACTTTCTGAGTTTATATGAAAATGTGTCTCAATGGCTTATCTGCACTCCTGTGTTCATGAAGTCAATATCCACAATAACAAATCTGTGATTATCCATCAATGGGTTAACCAAAAAATTAAGTGAATAACACATGGGTATCTATTTTCATGAAGCTTCCTTAAGGGTTCAATCCAGAAAACATTACTTTTCTTCATGGGTTCTCCTGTTGAAAGTCAATAACAAAACTGGTAAGGCTTCAAAGGGAAAATCTAATCTGGATTATCAAGGTGCAACTGCATCACATTTTAGTGGATGAAAAGTCAACACAAACAGAGCCACGAAATAAGAGTGAACACAGGTTTATCACCTTCACAGACAGGAGAGCACAGGGGTTATCCCCCACACCCTGCCTCCCCTTCTTCCTGCCAAATTCCTTCCCAGCTAAGAAAAGAGCCTTTGGGATTTTAGTAGGTGAGTCCATACATAGTCACAGAAGAATGCTTTTCTGAGCATTTAAAGCATTAGATCTCAAAGTGATGGAATGGAGTACATAAGTGAAAGTTTTAACTAGTGGAGAGGAGCACTTCGCCATGTTCAGCTTGTGGAATAACAGTGGTGGGTAAAATGACTCTGGAAATGCTCAACATGCATTATAAAGATGGAAGACAGGAATACTGGGTGTTCTCAGTTTATATCATTAGGATGATAGACAGAGATGCCCCGATCATGCTCAGCTGCATCCAGAAGTTTTAAAGATAAAAAAGGAAACAACATCTTGAAGTTTGCCTTTAAAGGTGCCAACCTCACTTAGTGGCTGACAAAAGTGCCCAAAGTCACAGCTGTACTGGTTGAGTAGATCCTAGGATGATACTGCACACCGCAGTGCCTGTGGTTAACAAAGGTGTTTGTTTTGCTTAAACTATTGTATCTAGGCATGGTCAGGAACATTTAGTTCCAGTTTCTGAAGAAAATGAAACAAAATAATAACATGAGAACACAAAGCCAGGGTAAGCAGCAAAATCAGATTCATTAAAGAAAAAACAGATGGTACAGGTTAATTCTGTCCTCATACAAGCAATAATGATAATAAAAATA